TGTAGGGTACTGCCTTGAGTTCTTTGTGGAGCTGTGGGATCTGAACGTATGAATCATCGTCGCATTTCATGAGGAACCTAAACTTGACATTGTAGTGGACATAAACCAGCGATGCCAAAAGCTTCTTTGTCAGGGCGCTGTAGGAGTCAATAACATTGTTCAGGAGCAGCAGATCTCCGAACCTCCTCTGTTCCGACTGAATGGTGACATTGACGTTCTCGCTGAGGCTCCCGGTTCCAATGACAAAGTAGTGAAGCGTGTCTGACTTCTCTTCACTTAGCCATGTCTGCCTGATGGTGTCCCTCTGCTCAGAATTGCCTGGCGCTGATATCACTATGATCACCAGGAACACACTCTTGCCCGGGCCCTTGGCATTCTGGCCCCACATGCCCAGCCAACTGTTCGAGTCCTCCACATCAATGCGCTTGATCTTTTCTGTGCACTGGTGGATGTTGCAGCTCATTGGATCCACGGACATGAGGGTCAGCAGGCTCCCGCAGATGAAGGCTCCAATCCATGACAGCAGGTACACAAAATTACGGAAGGGACGCCGGCAGCAAGGGAGCCCACTTGCCTGACGCACCAAGCCCATTGTGTACCTGGAAGGAAATGTGCAAATACAGTATTAATGAGTATATAAGAAATTGGTGATTTGTTAATAAGTCAATTATAGTTGATCCATTCTATGAATCTAATAATGCAAAACCTGCATCATGAAGTCTTTGTAACTACAAGTTACTAATGAATGGTTATGAAATAAATGTTTCAAATTATGTCTCTATTATTTATACAAAACTCATCAAATGGTCATGAAACATCCTCCAATTATTGATGATACCAAATAAATGAACTATGATGCTGGTGTATTCCAAATAAAAGGAAGCAAAGAAAGTTAAACTGAAAATATGAATTCCCCTTAAAAAATACAATGCTTTTCTTTCTTTGGGTTTTATACATAAAACCATGGCTATACTGCTCAATGTGTTGGACATTCACAGGTAAGTTATTGGTGTAGTTACAATAACAGTATAAAAAAAAGAAAGAAAAAAAAATATATATATATACAAGTATGTATGTATATACATTTTTCTTTGTTTAAAGTTAATTTAAGTAGTTAGCATAAACTGGCAGCTTCAGATTGCTCAATATTACAGGGATAAATTAGGGAGAGGTTCTGTCCATCAAGTGACTCCCCAACTCTTGGTATGTAAAGATATTCTAATTCTATTTTTGCGTAAAGCACTTGCTTGTGCTAGTTACATATCATGCTGTACATTGTATTTACTCTCACTAACACCCTTTCTAGATTTGTTTCACGAAACAATCTCTCTCCCTCTCCCTCTCATGTACAGATAACATTGCAAATTTTAGTTTGGCTGAATTTACGCTATTTCTCACAGAATTAAGTGCAAAGGTCACGGCAATCGCCTGAAAGTATCAGGCTGGACTTCTGACTACAGTCGTGCCATCAAAGATAATAGTTAACGTCAAGTAGAACTGTCCAGAGCATACCAAGAACCTATATAACCAAGAGAGAGAAAGAAAAAAATCAAATTTAAAAGCCACTGTGGGTGTCTTCTGAGCACTTACTGCCGTTTTCAACGTGGTTTCATTAACCTGTCATCTCAATCACGAGAAATATCACAACATTACCTAAAAGTCAGAGGATTTGCATTTAAAATTCCCGAAGAGAGACTCAGCTGTCAGACGAGTCTTGTTTTGATTTGAGATCCGATCGCCTTAAGTCAGGGTTATGAAAGCAATAAAAATCCATCTACAATATGTTTCCTAAAGCTTTGAATTGTACTTGAGTGTTAATTAATGCTAATTTTTGCTTTAGATTTATTAATGATGGAAAAAGAATTGCTTATATTGTCCTTTATTGTGGTTCAAATATGTAATTGTCTACAACTTTACCTATCCAACGCAACACAACCTGGATTTATATTGTGCTAATCGTTCGATATTCTCATTCAAATCTTGATAAAAACACAAATAATTGAATTGCACATAAAGAATATATTACCTGAATAATTGATTACTCCCAAAAAAACTAAAATAATAATTTTCTTCCAATAAACTAAAGAAAAAAAGATCGAAACGTAACTACGATTTTAATCAGCTCAAAATCGATAAACCCAATATTCTAAAATGCATAAAACAATATCTTAAAAACAAACTCAATTAATTTAGTTACATCAGTTTGACTTTAACGCACACATAGTATATATTAGACTTCCTATTTTCCGTTCTGGGCGCACCGTGGGAGTTATTGATCAGTTGTCTGCTAGAAGAAGCCACAGTCATCTGACAGAGGAAACGGACACCACCGTTCGAGGTCAGGAAAGGGTAAATTTCTAAGTATATGTGACTTTATTAAGTAAAATCTGTGTGGTTTAAATGTCGTAGGAAATGCTACGATGTGTGAGTTATATTTATACGAAGAAAATGTCCAAACTAGACCTGGAATTGTATGGGAAAACGCATAGATGAATTGGTA